GTTGTGTTCCCAACATGGCAGAGCCCACGACTGGTTATCCTTTTGACAAGCTTTTGGGCAAGCCTCCGGCAAATCGTCTACGAATAGCAGATGGCAAACACAGTGACTTAAAGAACCAATGCAAATGCAATGCAAAGAACATATAAGTGTAGATAAAATTTGACATCATGAATTTCAAGTCAAGTTCTCTAAATCCCCAGCGGAGTTGCCAGAAACTGTGGCTCGACTTTTCGTGCTCCTTTCAGATACGACTAGCCCTACAGTTTGGACTTTCGTGTTTCTGAATCTGATTCCACAAGTGCAATACGAAATAGATAAACACAAATGACTCCAAATACGACAATTCTTTTGGAAAATTGATTTTGAATCAAAATGCCAAACATGGACTGTTTTGCCAGATACAAAGTAACCACCTAAATGTTTTATTTTAGGAAATTCAGGAAACCCGGGACTCGTGCCAAAGGCCACTTATCTGTCATCACCAAAGTGTCTCAGCTCGGGAACTTTGGTACAAGAGAGGAAGGCCATGAATTGAGCATCCCACTTGCTCGATCAAAGATCGGCCTTTACTAATCATGATGTGATTCTTATTTACATTATATGCATTTGTTCCGATTATTAGACTCTCATTACTATGTGTTGCACACAAGTATAGACTAATTTGCAAAAATTAGAACATTTGATTTCATGTTTGTTTTGAAAATTGTTTCGAATATGTACCACTTGAAAAAGTGATCTCATATGTACATTACTCAAATTATTCCAATTCAAACAATTAGCCTTCATCCACAGGCATGCAAGCAAGTATATCGATTAAACAATTAGCTTCATGGTAATCATGCTTGACATGGTAACAATCACATTCATGCAAGATGCTAAAGCAAAAATGCTCACCTAGTACTCTGAGGCGAGCCAAAAGAAACAAAAGAGTTAGAAAACATGCATGCTCCTGACTAATGTAACATGACTAATGCAACACATGCGATATGCAACTGATAAGCTTGGTTACTAGTTATGACATGTGAATCAATTTGGTAGCATGCGGTTTAAGCACCTTTTCAAAGAAGTATTTAAACGACAATGCATTGTTAAAATGATAAATCGAGTCTCGATGCACGCAAGACAAATGGATGCAAACATGGAGTATGCTAAAAGCAACATGATGTTCTATTCTAACCATCATAAGCAAGTAAATAAAAGGGAGAAAGACGTGGGGTTGAAAGACATACACATTATTACAATTTTGGCCCTCGCACAAGAGGGTCCGAATGAACTAACTAGCTAACTAATTACCTAAGTAAGTAACTATTACAAACCAAATGAAATAAATTAACTACACTAGCTAATTAATTAATTATTACAACAACAAATTTAACTAACTATTCAAGCTAATTAAATAAATACAACACAAAACTAACTAGCTATTCTAACTAATTAATTACAAGTCTGCTATATTACAACACTAATATTACAACAACACTTCACGGATCTCGAGAATTGAGAGATGGCTCATGCAACAAACGCTGATTTTTACCTGATAATGCTCTCCGTTTTGCTACTGGAATGCCTTTGTTGCACAATTAGAAAATTGTACATGTTTTCCACCTCAGCCTCTGCTCTGCTCTGCTAAAAAAAAGACACTGCTGGGCCAGAAAAAGTGACCGGCAACCCAGAAGTAGTGGCCGGCCACCCATTAAAAGTGGGTTGCCATCCACTAAAAGTGGTCTGCCGGTTACTAATGTTGTTTCTTCCCTGCAACAATAGAGGACAAACAGAGCACAAACCAGAGTACTTTCAGGAGATGTTTGTCCTCTCTACCTCTCCTTATCAGCAAACAAGTCAAAGGAGGGGTAGGCTTAATTCGCAAATCATCAATCAACGCAATTTCATTACATGATGACTTATAAATCAAGGGACATAATTTCAATAAATGCATAACAAAAGACCAACAAAACCTCCTCCCTATCATGGATTGATCAAGGGAAGTAATTGACCTTGTAAACTTGAACAATTTCATCACTAGTAAGTATGAAATAACCCAAGTTTCCATGTGTTCAATTAACGTTCAATTGAACACACAATTAGCTTATTATCTTGTTCCAATTTTAGTTCAAGTTTTATTACTTCATTTTAATTACCATCTATTCCTTAATTCATTTGAGTCCAAAATGAAGATTAAGTCCTCTAATGGAAAGAAGTTCCAAACCAAGAGTTGTTTTAGGCATGAGAGAGATGTCATGCCGTTGGTAATGAACCCCCAAAGGGATTAAACCATTAAGCACAACAACCTAAATCTCAAGCTGAAATAAGCAATTAGTTTGAAACAACTTTCAAAACAAAGAAAAAAAGCCAAGAAATGAGGAGGTTGCAGAGAGAATTAGAGATGAAAACAAGTATGGAAAGTAAGAAATAAATACTATCAACTCAAATAGGTTGGTGATTAAGACCTAAACTACCAAGCCTATGAGGACCATTACACTACAAGCATGCTATACAAAACTCAAATGCAATGAACAACTAAAAACAGTCCTAAAACAATCCAAAAAAAGTGCTGGAATGAAGACAAAAATAGTTAAAACAATAAGGTAAAACATTGAGGAATTAAAACTAGCACACAAGCACAAGGAGATGAGGTTAACCCCTCCACTTTTTGGACTTCAAAACATGTTTTTTGCTTCTGAAAAATCTCTGAAAATTAGTTGAAAAAATCTCAAAAAAAGTTGATGTGAATGTGGGAAACACAAAGGCAAAGGCCTTAGAAGCAAGGTTCAAAAAATGGTTATCAACCCCTCTACCTTTAATGGCCTTAAATCACAAGTTTTAACGCAAAAATATATGTAATAAACTGCTTAAAAATAGCAAGAAAAGATGGAAAACAAGTGATGTAAAGATGGTACAAAAAGGACTAGAAGGTATGCCTCTTGAAGAGGAATGCTATTTTGAGTTACAAACCACCAATTTCACACTCTCAAGTGCCTCAAGAGCTCAAATTTAAGCTCAAATCACCTCAGCAAAAAGCTCTCTAGGTTCGGCTTAGAATGTTTAGGCAAATGCTATGCAAATTGCGAGAGAGAGAGAGGAATTTTCAAAATTTGCTCTTCAAAAATATTTTCTCACTCCTAAATTTTTCTAACCTTGGCAACCAAAGAGAGGGTCATCTATATATAGAAAACAGGTGTCTATCTCGAAAATATCTGTATAGGAACAGCTGGTGCAGTGTGGGAATATTTGGCAGCGAATATCTGCAAAAATCTGGCTTTTTACACAAGTGGCTGGTAGGCCACTAAAAGTGGGTTGCCAGCCACTATTAGTGGGCGGCAGGCAAAAATCTACTTCCCTGCTCGACTTCAAACGGGCAAATCTTCCTCATCCAGATTCGGTTTTAAGTCATTCTTGAGTCTAAATTAAAGCCTGGAAGTCTACTTTTCAATGGTGGCGGCCTCACATTTAAATTCTAAGTGTGCAAAGAGATATGCCTATTTTACTGAAAGCTGCTTATTTCTGCCCTAACGGATTGATGCCCAACTTCCTTCTCAACTAGTTTGTTTCCCTCCCCTCCTATTTCCCTCAACTCCAAACCTCTAAATAAAATGTTTTTAAAAAAAATTCAAAGAGTTCACCTCCCTTCTATTTATTTCCACTTTATCTTTGCTCGGTTTATCGAAAAGTATAATATTTTAAACGAAATACAAGTCTCGAAACATCGTAGAAATATTTTCAAAAATATTTTGAAAAAGCAAGTTTTAAGGTCTAAAATAGTTTTGGTCTAATATGTTTTTGATCAAAATAGAGTGTAAAGTTAGAATTTAGTAACTCTTCTTGCTAAAAAATCAAACATTTGCACAATATAATTTTCATCATCGAGCAATCAATCAATAATGCCCAAATCTTATGGGCCATAAAAAATGAAGTGTCTACAAATTAACTTAATTTTCTCCATACCTTAGGGAGCTGAGTGTAATTTCCCCGTTATTAAAAGGGAACAGTACATCAATGATCCATCATAGCAACTAGTCAAAAATACATTGCAAAATCATGGATGAGGAAAAAGAGCCCTATCACTGCAATATAACTACACCTTAATAAGGTGAACATAAAAAATAATAATAACAATAACAAATAAAAAAAATACTTCAACCAAAACGTAATCAAAGAGCATGTTCTCAAGGCCATCATCCCTGTCATCAATTGTCAAATGGGAACAAGGCAGAGTTAGAAGCTGGGATACGAGAAAAGGCGAGGAATTTGAGACACCTTTCACAACCAGCTTTAATACCCCTGGTACACCTTTCAACTGCTCAAAAACAGATGATGAATTTGTGAGAATATATACATATAAAAAGGATGTCATAAGCCCACTGTGAGGCAATCTTAATAGTAGCTAGGGGAGCACAACTTTGGTCAACCAATTTCTGAAATAAAGTTCTTCTCACAAGAATGGAATTGCATTAAGGCAAACCATACTTACTCCACCAGCAGATTGAAGAGGATTAAATGCATAATCACAATAACGAGAAAGATGTCACTCAAAAGGAGGGGAAAGAGAGGAGGGAAGAGGAATAGGAATGAGACAACTCATTGGGTGATGCTATCTCCACTTCTTGATGCAGCAGATCAAGTTGTAAGGATGGTTTAAGAGGAATGAGACAGACTCAATGGCTTGCTACACCATTGATTTTGGCTATATACCTCTAAATTCTAATTCCTGTTTGGCTAAGGCTATGTTTGGCTCCAGGGATAGACAAGGCCATGTAGCAAACAAGAACAACGGCATTTTAATCCTAAAATCTTAGGTTGCATTGTCACATGCTTGCTCACATGACATTTTCCATTCAAAACCCTAACAGCCTACTACCGGATTGTCACAAAATAGAAGTGCTGAGTTTTAAGCATTAGGAAGTCAAACTCAAAAATAGCACACAGTTGAGAGAGATTTAAACTACGATGTGATTCACATCACAAGGTAAATGTGCCAGTACTCTCGTATCAATTACTCAAAATCCAACCAACAGTATCAGAAGAAACTCCATTAATAAACATTAAATCCAAGTATCCATGTAAACCACCAAATCATAATGCAAAACTGATAGATAAGTAAAAGGCCAACTACTCTTTTGTTTTGAAACTTGATCTAATAGCATCACAAAAAGAAAAGCTTCAATAAAGCAAAAAAAGGAAGAAAAAAAAAAAACACAAACTTCCAAAGTCTAGAAATGATGGAAACAAGAATCACTCTTGTCCTAAATTCACTTCCTAAGAGCCTGCCTGTTCCTCTTCTTGACACCAGATTTGGTGACCTTAAGGCTCCTGTGCACGGCGCTCAACCTTGCAAGGGCAGCATTCTTCAGATCTGGCCTGTAATAGTTATTTCCCACCTGCAATAAATGATTTAATAATAAAAAAGTGATAAGAATACACTTTCTCAACCTTATAACTAAATAAATAATAAAAAATGGAGAGAACTTTTTAACTTCAGCAACCAACAGAAAACACTCAAATGTAGTGGTTATCCACCACCACTTGAGTGCTCACTTCTAGGAGAATGTAACAGAAGAGCCAAACTTGCAAACCATATAAAGTGGCGTACAAGCATTAAACTTCTGACTTCTTACTTTGGGGAGAGATAAGTAAAGGCGGCTATCAGATGAGTCTAGCACCTGAAGCCGTTTTTCCCTCTCTCCCAAAGTTCACTAAAGAGTCTAGCACTTGCATGCCAAAAGACATCCAAAGTGAAAACAACAAAATGAAAGCAGTACACATTACTGTTTTTCCTATAGATCAACACAAAAATGAAAAAGGCAAGGCAATACAACCATTTACACAGCTCAGATTTTGAATCGTTGTCCCTCACTAAAAATAAAAAAGAAATAAGAACATCTCACCAGATTTTCTCTCCATTCCTGAAAACAAAAGTGATGGTACAAGGGACAACCCTGTGAACCACATAACAATGTGCTGGCTGGGTGCCAAAACAACCCACCACCAAGGAATTTTTACAAAGAGTAAAGACCTCCCTAGCTTTATGTGTCTCTCAGTACCCAAATAGCAAAAGTATGAACACATGCAATTATCCAAATAAATACAAGTATGAGAACACATGCTGAACGGCCATTCACATTTCACACATTCAAATTGCATCACAAATCAAGCATGCTAAACAGCATGCCAATAAAACTGAAAACCTCAATTGATGTGCTTTTTCAATTGGTAAAAATTCCACCTGTTAAAGTCGTAAGCTAGTCAACATCTTCAAAATTACAATTGCAATAGCACAACAATCAAATAAAGCATAACTTTATCATGCTCGCATAGATATCACCAGCAATGGAATACAAACTACTGAAGCACTAATAGTAGAACAGAAGCTCACAAACAAGGCCTAAACACGATAATTTCATAAAGAACCGACAGGCTCTTCTCACAACTGCTCATTGCTGCAGAAAAAAGTTGTCAAACTTGGCCAGAAGATCCCTATAATATATTGAGTTGAGAGAGTAAGCTGCGGCTGTTCTTAGATAACCAGTTCCCATCCAAGATAAATTTCCAACAAATATCAATATGCATCGACTCGAAACATGAGAACACATGTGGTTACAACTCAACAAGTAGATTTCGTCAAATATACTCCCCCAACCAAAACCCATGCGTATTAAGTTCCACTATTGCCTATATCAATTGCAACCATTGCTCATATGAACACACAAGGTGCCAACAACCAATTCATACCTGGTTTGTCACTGCCTTTGCCATGCGACGGAACTCCTTCTTCATAACAGACTTGTGGAGTAAAGTGGATGGTTTGGCCTGCTTCTTGGTCTTCGTTGTTGCAAGCAACACAGATTGATCTTTCCCCCCTGGTTGAATGGTTACAGTTTTCTTGTTCGCCAACCCTATAACATCATACCCATTAAACAGACACGTTAAATATATACACAAACATAATTTCAATCTAAACCCACAAAAACTCCAGCATAAAATCGCCAACTGTGTGTGTTTTGCTAGAAGATCACATAAATTGAAAGTTGAACAGAAATCAAATTCATATTGAACACAATTAGAGTATCCAAAATAATACAAAGAACATTCCCCGAAATAGAAGCTAATTTTTTTTTTTCACTTTTCCCTTCCTTTTTCCTTTCCCTCCACAAATCCCAACTCAAATCATTGATTTAAAGACAGCTTTTATATTATTGCAAAATAAATAAATAAAAATACTAACAGACAGTACAAATGAATGAACTTATTTTTAAAAAGAAAAAGCAAAGGAAAAAGAAAAAGAGATTCAACTCAACCAAGATAACGACGATTACTTTCACAAGTTTTCTCCGAAACCAAACATATAAGGGATTAAAGCTTTGAGAGTAATGAAGTGTGATTTGAATAATACCAGAGTGCTTGTAGGAGTTGAGGTTGTAGAGATTGTTGCTCTCTTTGCTGAAGCGCACGCTAGCAGTTCCGTTACCGAACTCCTTCACGAGGAAAGAGTTATTCTTCTTCACAATCTCCCAGATCAGAGGCCCTGGTACTGTCGCCATTTCCACACCTCCTAACTCTGCATCCACAACATCATTTATCGATACACATACACACATATATATGTATATAGCTATACACATGTAGAAAGAGAGAAAGTGAGTGAAAATACCTACAGAGATAAAGTTCTGAAGAGTCTGGATTCGACGGCTGGTTTTTGGGTGAGTAGGAGAAGACGATCGAAGCTATATACGCTCGTTTTTGAAACCCTAGGGTGCAGCTGAGTGAATATGGGCCTACGGCCCACAAGAGCACAAATTCACAGAGTACAAGCCCATGAAGTCAATTTGGTACACTTTAAAAAAAAAAAAAAAAGGGAAATTACCCACAGGTCCTATGTGGAACATGTGGACACCATTTAATTCCATAATTTTTTGGGCACACCCAAAAGTCATTTCCTCCATCTCTCTGGTTTTTTCCTCCCTTTTTACGTTTTCTTCTTTTCCTTTTTTTTCTACATTTTTCTCTCATCGTCTTCGTCATAGACGATGGTGCAAGTATTCATGTCTTTCTCCATTGATCAGGGTTCACTGATAACTGCCAACCATCGAAATCAACTCGTGATTTCACTCTCACCGACGGTGAAGATATATATTTCCGACGAAGAAGATGAGTGGATCTACTTAGATCTGATGTAGATCTACTCAGATCAGAGTAGATCTACATCAGATTTGGTTAGATCTAAACAAAAAATAGTTGTCGAAGTATAATCCTCTCTCTACATCCGCCTTTCTCCTTCGATCTCTTTTTTTTTTCTCTGCTATACACTTCTGTTTTTCTGTTCTAATTGAGAAAATTTTCGAATTCTGAACAAGTAGTTTTCGAGTTTTAGTTACAGGCGGTGAAAACTGTAAAATTTTGCAGTTTCAAATTTTTTTTTTGGTGCTGGAATGAATCATGGTTTAAAACTGTAAAATTTTGCAGTTTTATAACATTCTTTAGAGCTGTAAAATTTTACAGTTTCATAACATGTTTTTTAATTTTTTTTTCCCGGCAATATTCTAGACATTCCAGTGAGTCTTCGGCGACCGTTAAATGGAAGTCCAACGGTAGTAAGATGTGAACAGTGTTTGTAAATTAAAAAAAAAAATAGATTTTTTGGTAACAATTAAAAATGTATTTGACTAATTGGTGCAAGTGTTTTGTTTTGAGATTAGCTGGATCTTGAACTTGATACATGGGACTTATCAGTAAGTTCCCAAAAAAAAAAAAAAATCATTACCTACGCTTAATTAAAATTTTATTATATTTTAATATAAATTTATTAATAAAGACAATATATATTAAATTTTAAAAATATTTTTCATAGCACACAATTACATATACATATTTTTCATTTTCTTTCCTATTGTTTTCTCTTCTACTTCTTCTTCCTTAAAGCGTCTCTAACGCTTCATCAAATCTGTCATCAAATTCAAATTTGATAACCCTTTTATCAAACTCATATCAAGCAAAGAAAGAGTTACTTTTTTTTATTAAATCAAGGGAGCTTTATTGTTTCATTAAATTTGTAGGTGACCGTTGGATCAAACATCCTCCCAAACAATATCTTTCTTGCAAAAGTGCCCGTAGGTCAATTTATGGGTGGTTGTTTTTATTTTTATTAAATTAATTTTTATTTTTTCAAAAGTCAAATATAGCGACAACTTTGATATCATTATTAAACCAATCCATTAAATTAAAAATCCAAAACTAAAAGTATTTCATATATTAAATATATCGGTTACACATTAAAAACTTAACAACTACCCATTACATGATTATCATCCAAACACATAATATAAATAAATTTGATAAATAAATAAATGAATGTGTAACAAATTTATTAATTTTACATAATTTTATCTTTAGTGGATAGAAATAATTTTTAAAAATTCAAAAATATTTTTTGACATTTATTTAAGTGCTGCTATTAGTACCCCATAAATTATTTTGGACCCCCCACTTTTTAGCTTTTTTATTACAATAATAGCCTTGAATAAAATTACTACAAATGATATCGTTAATTTTGGAACACTTTATCTCATAATTAAACCTATACACTGATTACATCATGAATTAGGGTTTATGAACGTACATACCTCCATCACCACCCATCCATCTTCCCCAAATCTCACATTTAAAACTTACCCACCCTCAAAATCTTGAAAACCTTTTGGCGGCAATATTCCGGCTGTAACGTGGCAACCATTTGATTACTTACACTTCTCTAGCAATGACAATGAGTAAAAGTTTTTTTGACAGCCACAACTTCATAAAACGAGAGGAGTATAATAATAAAAAATTAAAGGAGGCTCATAACTTTGATATTGTTCTTAGCTCAGAGGAGATTGGCTTTGTAAGGGTAAGTTTCTTTAAAAAAAATGGCAAAAATAATAAAATATGTTCGTTATTTTTTCGGGACTGAACTCCTGAACATATGACTGAAATTCGGGAACATAGGCCCGAACATTGTTTATTTGTTCAAAAACAGATAACTAAACATTATTCATAGGTTCGAACCTGTTTTATTAATCACATTTTGAAATTTAATTTGTATTGTTATTTATTTTAGGATGATGGCAAGTTAATAGTTAAAATTCTTAACACTCGCAGATTTTTTTTTTTCAAGCTCGAAAATACAGGCTTGACCATTATTTATCTATTTGGAAACACATTTCCAAACATTACCTATTTTGTTCAGGAATACATGTCCGAACATGAAAGAAACTCACCATTTTTGGGTATACTACAACTCTGTTTTGTTTATGGCGCTCTCTCAATACTCACCACACACCCATCCAGCCACACTGTCATAGTCCCAAGACAGAGATAGAGAGAAGAAAGAGAGGATATGTTATGGTAGAAACGAGAGCACATCAAAAGGCTATACTATGTTAAACAAGAGCAGTTGATCAACAGGTAAGCATATCAGATGGCCCAAACGAGATTAAAAAAAGAAAAAGAAAAAAGATTTCTCTCTCTCTCTGTAGTAGTTAGTCAAAAGGCTATACCATGTCGTAACTTATATGAATATAGACAATATTCTTATTCTTCTTCCTTTTTTCCTTCTTCTTCTTCGTCTTTTTTTTCGTGAGTTTTGAAAATGATGAGGCTCTTCTTCTTCTTAGTGGGTTTTGTTAAGATTTTTTTGGAAGGAAGGTTTTTTTTGGAGGTGTAAGAGGTGTTCATTCAATGGATGAGAATGTTTAAGTATAATTTTGGTATTATTTGGAGGGTGAAAAGAAATTTTAAGGGTTTAAAAATTTATAAGCGGGGGTACAAATAAATGAGGAGTTTAAAATAATTCATGGAGTACTAATAGCACCACTCATTTATTTTTGTCAAATTAATTTATATTTTATCAAATTGATGACTTTGTCCTTAAAACTGAGTAATGATATCTACAATTATCTTTATTTTGAATAAGATTTAAAATTTAAAACCAAATATGTCACAATTTAAAAGTTAAGAATTAAAGTAACACAAGCCTCTAACTATAAAAACTGTTAGTATAATTCATCCATTTTAATAAGATACACAATCAAAAGTACATTCCTAAAAAAAATACTATAATTAAGTCCATCCAAATAAACATAGTCTTAAAAGAACACTAAATTTTCACATTTTATTTTTTCTCACCGACTTAATGGGTTGGACTATGAGTTATATATAAAAGAAGAGAAAAAAACAAAGATATAGACAATGATCCTACAACGCACAACATAGAGTAGTTTGACTCAAATCCAATACTTCACTTGCTCACCAAACTAACAATATAATCTGCAAAATGCAAGATGCAAGAAATTGGTTCCAAACATAAAAACAGCTAGAAAACTTTCAATTATAATCTTCTAACAAACTCTGAATTAACCTGCAAAATGTCAAGAACACTAAAGAAGCCCAGAAAATGTGGCTTTGAATCTTCCATTAATCATGATTTTCATCGACTACACCAGTACTCTGCAACATCAGCTCCTTGAATCAACCGAAAATTCAAGAACAAACCAGATATCAGATCTCACCAAACCCTAACATCAGGTCACCATTTTTACACCTCTACTAATGTTACATTATATATACACAACCAAAGCAGCCTAATTCATTTTTACTCTAAAAAGATCCTTCCTACAATAAAAATGTCATGACGATTATTATACAAGAAGGGATTCTACCTTCCAGGGCAGAATGTACAGAGCTGTGAAGAGCAGAGCACAATTTAACAGATAAAAATTTTGAAACTAGGCCGCCCAATTGAATCAAAATCCCTAAAAAAAAAAACAAACAAGGATACATTTTTTTTCCCCAGCAGCTACTCAAAAGCAAATTTCATGGATTACACCGATTTCATAACACGGTGTGCTGGTCGAATTGAACCATTAAGCGATGCCTTTATCCTACTGAACACCACTTTCAAGGGGACACACGCTACAGCGGGGCCCTTGATCTTCTCTACCACAGGTTTCTTTTCGTCTTCACTTTGCTTGCGAGAACCGGTTAGCGAAGACAGTTTGCGAATCTTTTTAGACGAGAGCCCATTTTTCCGGGTTTTTTGTGATTTACTTGGCGAAACACGATGCAACGTCAAATGCTTTGTAGGAACCCTTCCACCTCCGATATTTGGCTTTGCTTCATAATCAAAATCAACACTTGCGAAAGCAGAGAATTTCTCTTGCGGGTCATCATCCAACTCACAGCTGCTACTAGTCAGATAGCATTCGGGCCCACTCACCAGAAGATCACAGAAACCATCGTCCAAAACCTCGACAGTAAGAGGATGACCTATGATGGGTTGACAATTCAATTTGCTCATGAGAGAAATATACGGAACATGTTGAGGACGATAGCTCGCTTTCACCTCCAGATTAACTTCATACAAGGATGAACCGGTATCATAATTTCTGATAGGAAAATCTGATGTCTGATATTTTGGGTTCACCGTAAAACGGGATTGGCGATAGGGAAGTGACCTTTGTGAAGTTGGAGAGCAATCGGGCAAAAGTTTCATGTCTGTGGGCCCCCTCATATGAAGTAGTTTGCGGGTCCCACCCCATCCCCTGAGCTCATCTACCTGAGAATCTGTATCAACTTTCCGACCAGAACCAATAGAAAATACATCCCCGGGCTCTAAGCCTGCCAAATAACCGTTGGATTCATCATCAACATCGACAGAATTCCTCGAGTCTTGTCTTTTATTTTTACTTCCATATCTTGAGTTTCTCTTTCCTTTTAACTGCCACTTTGAAGAACCATTCTCTATCCTCTGGTTGAAGCTATCGATATCAGCAGCAGCACCTGAACTAGTAGAACCAGACTCGTGAAGTTCTTCGTTTCCCACAGAAACAGTTTCAACTTGACTGCTTTGACTAGATTGTCCCCCAGGACCAATATGAGGCTTTTGAGACGAACATGATACCAGAATTGGAGCAAAGCCTGGTTGAATATAATTGAGATATCAGAATATGTTAAAAACATCCTAATGATTTGGTGAAGACACCATGTAAGATATTAGGGGAATAGAAAGAGGGTGAGTAAAATAAATACTGCAATAAGCACCAAAATAGTTCAATTTCAACCTCAGCTTATCAGAAATACTAAATTACAGTACCCAAGCACGAGCTACCCAAATAGGTGCAACAAAATTTAATAAGTAGAAAAATTGCCAGCAACAAAAATTCCCATATGCATGTATAAGCAGGTCATTCGTCTCCAGACGAATGTTTCCAATAAAAAATTTGGCATCATACTCCATCTAATAAAATAGTTTAAAAAAAATAATAAAACTTAGATGCCTATAACGTATGGTTAATGAAACATTTTGTGGCAACGCAAGTCCTTTCAAATGAATCTCATTGTGTTACAACTAACATCCATATGGGTATATATATATATATATATATATATGTATATATGTATGTATCTATTATATATATATGTATATATGTATGTATCTATTACAACATTAAGATACCTAAACAACTACCATGCATAGAAAGCTCACTAAGCATACACAAAAGAATACAAAGACATGCATAATTAAACGTAATGTACATATGTATGAACAAATACATGGATATCTAGGTATTCTCTGTACTCTATCGTAAGTATCCAACCAAGAGAACAGCATGCTTTTACTTAACCCCGTGTTCCCTTTCTTGAGCCTCAAACTTGCACCTCTCTCTCAAAGACGTTAGTCCTAGTAGATATACATGCCATCTAACTTTCTACCACCATCTAGGAAATATGAATCTGTATCTAGATTATTATTTTTTGGGGGGGATAAATAAAGGCAATTTTATTAAATGACATTATCTAGATGCTCTTCTTAAATCTATTCCCGGGACTCAAGGACCATGAGAGCCGGGAAAATGTAGGTTTATAAGCTTTCATTGTAAAAATTGTCTGCTATGCTGCATCATGGATTGGGTGGTCCCATCCTCCTGTGTCCAGATGCTTACAATTGCCTATAGGGCCTTTGCCCTTTGGTAGTAAAAAGAAGGCTTGTGTTTGGAGTTGTGTAGTATATATCGTGCTATGGGTGCAAGAGTTTTTTAGGGTAAATTAGAGATATTGGGACTGCATGAGATAAGATTTGACTTCTTTTTGGGTCTCGGTGTCATCCACCTTTAGGGGGATTCCTTTGTTATTTATTAGTAGTGATTGGAGAGCAATATGTGGGAGATGTAATTTTTTGGCTTTCTATTTTTTTTTTTTTAATTTTTAAGAGACTTCTTGCCCCTCATACCTTTTCTTTTTTCTTTAATAAATATTCTATGCTGATTATTAAAAAATATATATTTTGAGTATTGGCCTGTTAAAATGATCAGTCATCATAGGAAAGATTCTTTGGCATTCCATAACTCATTACCAACACTTTTTCTGTTTGTGCTTCACTATGTAGAATTCTCTCCCACATCTTTTTCGGAGATTTTCTTCTTCATATTGTGTAGGTACATGGGTTAGCCTTGCCACGTGGCAGCACCACATAACCCTTTTGGTGGTTGTGCCTACAAGACTCATGTGCCATGTGTCTGCATCATAGGATAACAAGTGTCCTAATCACACATTAGCACCTGAGTGCCTCAAAGTGCGTTTTGCAAGCCATCACCGGCAACCTCCCACATTCCGTGCATCATCACCAACAAACTCAAGCTTGCTCAGTCTGCCTGTCTCGCCAATAGGCTCACCAAGTCCAAGTGTGCCCTCACTTCCAGACCTAAGCATGCTTCTTGCACTACCTAGGCTGGGAGTAGGGCCTATGTACCTATACGGTACCTCACTTGATCCCTTGAGGACTTGAGGATAGAAGGCTAGAATTCAAGGATTTTCTAGAGCACCTCACTAACTCCTTCAAGATAAGGTGTGCTCAGACCAATCTTAGAGAGAGAGGGAGAGAGAGAGAGAGGCCTTGACCAAAACATTTGATACCTTAACGACTGTATCATACCTACCCCTAAGTCATCCTGCCACAATTGAAAAGGCCGCAACAAATTTACCAACTGTCTACATATAATATGTCCCCTGAGGCCTTGCTATGGTTGCAAAGTTGACTAAAGCTCCCTCCATTTTTCTAGCCAAGGGGATTGAATCACTTGCCCCTAGCCGAGTTAGCCTCTCCCTGAATCGCCACCCACCCTATACAAGGAAGCCTCCTATGCATGCAATAGAGACCTTGCTTCCTGAGGCCACCTTGACTGTCTCTCGTCGCCGACTTTTAGTGATCTCCAAACAGCTCAGGGATGCCGCGGCCCAGGATTGGTTGGAAACCCATTATCGGATTTGGAAGATCAAGGTGAAACCCTTGGGACCAAATTCTTTTTGACCCTATGAATGTAATTGATAATATTACTGTTTAGTTAGAATTTAAAAAAACATATTTAGTCTAGATATTTCTGATTTTAGTTTTCTATTTTAAATTAGGGTTTTGGCTTATAAATATTAGGCTTATGGTATTGTACTATTCCGTTTTGGTTCAATAATATTGCAACTATTTTTAGGCTGTAGCTGTTTGTGAGTTTTCTCCCCACTTGATGGTTTCAAACCACTATTTATGAGACGAGATGAACTCATTATTTCATTAACATTGGGGAATATCATCTTAAAAATAATACAAAATAGATACTACAGAAGATAGAAGCAAAGTATATAACTTTGGGTTAGTTTGCATTTATGATAAAGCATACCTCTGGGGTGCTTCTCCTCCTCTATGAACGGCACATCAAATAATGTTTCAGCAGAATCATTCTTAGGTAACCCTGACATGCTGGAAATTTCGTTCTCCTTTTGTTTGTAGTTAATAAGAGATGCATCAGAATTATGTCCAGACGCATTCAATGAGATTCCATTTTCACATGAAACTCCCGTACTGTCTGAGTTATTAAGTACCATTGAGAAACTTCTCTTTGATTCATTGGACTCTAATCCAGAAACTTTGCTGTCAGATACTCCTCGGAGAGGTGATCCAATTGGATTGGGAAGTTGTTCACACATAACTGGAACAGACACCATAGCTGTACTCTCCAAAACCTTTGTCAAGGGACGGCGACGATTTTTCCGTTTTAAGAACTCATGAACATGGGCCACTTGAGATCTCTTCCTTTTCAATGATGATACTATACCCATTCCCAAATCCTCGAGTCCTTTCATACGCTTAACTCCTTCTGTTCCATCATCTTCTGAATCATTTGGGGTTCGTCGTCGTGTCCCCTGCACAGATTGCTCTCTAGAAGCACCGACCTGGTTCGGCTCTTCAAATGATACACCAGACTGAGAGAATTCTGGCACTGAATTAGAATTGTCTTCGAAACTACTTGATTCCTCATCCAGACGTTCAATTTCTTTGCTAGAATCAGACATTGTTGGTGACTCCTTGACAAGTTGTGGTTCACCAGCTGATTTATCCATTTCTGAGCACAAGTCGGGATGATCTTTGGATTGGCGAGCACTTTCAAGCTCAAGAGCATGAAGAATGGCGTCTTCACGCCGAGCATACTTCACTACTTTTTTGGAAGAATTAGCTGCAGAAGCCAAGGCTTTTTTGATGCACTCATCATACTCCCCACAACGAAATGCCTTCACCCGTTTAGACTTTTCAAGATTATACCAGTCCCTAGACCAAAAATATAATAAACGTTTTTAGTACACTCAAGAGCAAGTAGAAAATTCAAATCAAAGTGTAAAGCTAGGAAATTATTTCTTAAATTTTAAAGGAAAAAAGATCAGATTCATGTAAATAATAGTTACTATAACCCAAGTGCATGAGTGCTGCAAGAAGTACAAGATTATCATAAATTTGGCTCCAACTGGTAGCAAGAAATTTGAAAACGTTAATTACAGGGAAGAAAAGACAAAATTCAGCCATTTAGTCCTTTGACGTCTGATATGCAACCCTAGCTGCAAGCTATAGTATGGGAGGCATTGTCAATTTGCATTGAGTGGGCAGAATTTTGAATTTGATTAGGGAAGTTTGAGAACAAAGTGTCTCACTAGTATTTTCTTCTGTTTTAACAATACAATGAGGAGAAAAGTTCAGAAGAATTTAAAGCATCCGAAGGACTAAAACAAATATTCAAACAAACTGCTCACAAGATCCAGCTGAAGCTTTAGGGCTTGTTTGCAATTGTTGTCGGAAACTGTTTTTGGTTCGTGAAAACCCAAAAACAAAAATAAAATTCAAAATGATAATGAAAACGTGTTTGCCAGAGCTGTTTCCAAACCTGTTTTTGTGATAATTTCCTAGAACAACCCATTTTTTTAGGAAACAGTTTAATTATGTTTTTGTAGAAGTAATTATGTGCATCTTTGTAGTAATCAAAAGATTGAATTCATAAGAAATGAAAATGCCATGACAATGATTTAGTTTTAAAACTCCCATTAATTTATTTCCAAAAGCACAAATATAGAAAACCAAAAATGAAAATGACAACAATGGAAATGATGCCAAATGGGCCCTTCGCATCTCAAACAAATGCATGATCAAGCTAAAGAAGTAACCCAAAATACTCACAAGTTACAAAACACAGAATGTTGAGTGTACATGAACAACAAATATTAAAATCACAAAACGTTTTATTACTCCATATCTAGGACAACAAATATCAAACCATTGAAAATTTTGTTAACAAGATTTGTTTCTTAGTAAGAAAGAAATTTATAAGAATAAACCAGAGGAAATCCTTCAAGCATCAATAAATGTTGGTATTTTCCTTTTTCCTTCTTCCCACATCAAATTAATGTATGTCTGTCAGATTCATCTAATTTTCACATCAACGACCCCTAGATACAACTATATTTCATATTTCTTGAATAAAAACAATGAGTGTTTCTAAACTTTTCATTGTTTCTGTTTTAAAAAACACGAAAAATGAAAATGAAAATGAAAACAAAAATTTTGAAAATGATACCAAATAAGCCAATGTCTGTGTAAATAGTCCTATAGTTGAATATAATAAGGGATTGTTTTACATACAAATACAATATAGAACAATTTTAACTGTAATGACACTGACAACTAGAAGTGTGCAAAAAAAACTATCACACGCCAAACCACACCAACCCAAAGCGAAATAAACTAACACGTGCAATTTCAGAAGATGAGTGGGTTGCGTTGGATGGCATAGATGACAAATTGCAGGTCAGTTAGCCAGCGGTTGAAAGTTCGTCAACCCGTTTACAAACTGACCTAACCCACCTAGAGTATATGCAAAATTACTTTGCACTAGCCGACGCATGATTCTCTCCTAACCCTAATACCATTAATAGAATGACACCTACCCTAACGATTATTCATTTTCTGCCAACCAACGTCAATTTATTTCTTTCGTCTTCAACAATGCCACGACACAATAAATCAAAGTTCAGCAACAATGAATCAAACTTCTAAGGCTAACATCTGGCTTATACAGCTTAAACTACAAAACAGTGGCATAGGAATTAAAAATAAAGTCAGGAATCACAAGCACAACGATAATTGAGGACAATTATGTAAAGGGCACAAATGGGGACTTACACGCTTGCATCTTCTCTTCCCAGAAGCTTCACTGGAGTACCCGATCTCGGCGACACCAAACAACTCTCAGACAATTCATCCAAACCCATAATCCGACCAGGCCACCACGACCCATTTCGCCTCCGAACCCAAACCAACCCACCAACTGCCGAATCAATGCCCTTTGTGTTCGGCTCACTCGAACTCCCCATCTCTCTCTCCCACACAACACAGCACAAAAATCAACAACCGATCTCAAAAATCAAAAAAACCAATCTCAACCCTCCATTCCAAAGCACATTCAAGTCCCAAATACCACAACAATCCCTTGCCTGAACAAATGCACATACCCTTTAACCCTACAAAAACCATGGTTTACAAAAAAACTCAAAAATCAGACAAATTCTCAACAACCTCGCATGCAATACAAAAACCCACAAACCAATATATATATAAAACTCAATAAATATGAGAGGGCAGAGAAAAACCCAGATTAGAGGGTTTATGAGATCTGGGTAGAGAGAGAAACAAGGGGAAACAGATGGGATAATCTCCAAAGAGAGATCTCTTTTTCCCCTTGTTCTTCAAAATCTCTGTATACTTCTCTACTGATCATTTATTTGATTTTTTTAAAGATTTTTATGAGTGAACCATTGTGGGTTTTTCAGATACAAGTGCGTAGGTGAAGAGAAGAGAGAGTGGAGTTGATGATGAACGGTGAAGTAGCGTGGCTTCTGTATAGAAAATGGATCAGACTAACCTTTTGGTATCTTTTTGCCAACGCAGGATGCTCTTCTGGGGGTAGAGAGAGAGAGAGAGAGAGAGAGAAAGATTTTGGATTAATATTTGTTTTTGAAGTGGAGAGGAGAGAAAATAAAAGGAAAAAAAAGTGGGTTGATTAGGTACGACAGGTTTCATATCTAGATTTCTACACTTGTCTTCGATGGGCCCACATTGGATGGTGATGAAAGAGAGATGTGGTTTTGATTTATGTGATCAACGGCTATGATTGTCTTGATTGAACTTCATCATTGAAATTATATCATACTTATATGTTACTTTGTGTGTGAGCGGAAACATTTAAATATGGGGTGACAAACAGTGTGGTCGGTTTATCGATTGGGCTAGGTTTTCTTATGCAGCTTGAAGAGGAGAGAGAGAGAGAGCCGTGGCTGGTAATCGCTCTGAAAAATATTATTCATTTTTCATCCTGTAGTTTGAATCACATGGCTTTTGTGTTATTTTTGGTGTGTTTTTCAACATTGGTTCTTGATATTGTAATTTTGAATGTTTCTTATGGTGATTTGATGATCTTGATTCATGGGTTCATAACATTTTTTCTTTGCTGCTTTTCTTCTTGGTATAGCATGTTGGTAGGTGAATTAATCTCAAGGAACTCGTTGATACCCAGGAGCTCCAATGTTTTTATTTATTTATTTATTTTTATGTGTGTGAATTTTGATGTATTTAGTTTTTCCAATGTTAAAACAGTGTTTGGATTGTAAATTTGAATAGAGATTTAGAAAGAAAAAAAAAAATGTTGAAAGAATTTAGTTTATATTTCTTTCACATTTCCTCTCTTTTTTTCTCTTTTTCTTTCTACCTAATTTTTTCAAATTGATGCTCCAAACATAACCAACCTAAAGGGGAAATTTTACCAAATGGACTAGTTTGCCTAATGTCATCCATTTTTTTTTTTTATTGCCTTTTGCTTCTGTTGATTCTTTTGTTTTGACTAAGATTTTCACAAGAAAAAATTAGTGTATTGAGGAGAAAGGAGGAATTGAGCTTCCCAGCTTCTGTTCTATGGCTATTCATTGTTTGCAATGCTTTGCCTGCATCAGTGAACTTGATGAAATGTGTATTCACAAAAAGGTTTAAAAATGGGTACTTAAGAAAGACATTTCATTTTGTCATTGAGGAAAATCTGATGCTGCTATGGATTTCTTACATTAGTTTTTTGTGTTTTCTTAATTTCATCTACACAACCTTTGTAGCAGACCACAAGAGCAAGAGATGGAAGTTGAAGAATTGGAAGGCCATACTTATGAATGATTTTAAAGGTTCTTACTTTATAATATTGCATTTTGCCCCTTGGACATCTGTTGTTGAACACCAAAAATCCCGCATTTTCCTTTGATAGATTCCCGACAATTAACAAGGTGCTGTTTTTCTTTGCTTTTGTAATGCCAGAAATTCACTCTAGCGAAAGTGGGCTAAACACTTGTAATCGGTGCTTCCAGGTTATGCCATCTCCACAGGTATATACTGTAAGTGCCATTGGCCTCTATGTAGATTGCCAAATGATGCTATCCTCATCTAGTCAAGCTAGGCCATTGTTATAAGCTTAATAACAAACACCGACACAAGGAGATGAAATTATAGGTTTCGTTATTGAGATATCTACGTCAGAGAGGGTAGTCTTGCATACGATTTGACATAATCAATATGACAGTCCACTTTTGTCTATTGTCCTCCACGATTTTACTTTTTGGTCAGTAGGAACGGACCAACTTCTTCTTTGTTACACCTCTAGCTTTTGATGAATTTGCTCGACTTGATCAACACTTTCTAAACATTGGAATGACACATGTGGTTTGCCACTTGCCTTTTGCAACTACAAATTTAATTTTTGGGTAAAAGAAAGAAATAATTCTTCATTGCCATTATTTTTATTGCTTTTTTGGATAAGTTGTTACAAATGGCGATTTGAGAAGCATCCAACACTGACCTCTAATATACTGTATGCTTCTTGTGATCTTTACTGAATGGCAAATTGTATTAGTCCCAACAGCTGAATTCTGTAGTACTGTCTTTTTTAAGAACTATCATGTTGCTACTGCATTGTGCCTATCCCATTATCTACCTATCCCATTATCTACGTATTTGTCAGTTCAAAAGGGTTTCAAGCAGCAGATCTTAAGATTTTGAGAGAAAAGCTAGAGCAAGAGGTAGTTTTTAAAGCACTTCTTGCTTTAATTTGAATTTTTCCATTTCATTTGTTTAAATATCTTGTTCAAAGACATTTCTTTTGCAACTTAACAATTTGAGATCATTGGTGTGCAATAATTGGTAATAAGATTTTCTTGATATGGCACCAAATGGAATGGACAAAAGTATGACCTCTTTGAAATCTTAACTACTGAAACAACACGTAGAATTGTTAGTGATCAAGGGGCGTAAGTAGTAGAAAAGCTTAATTGTCCTGTTGTGTGTGTATATATTGTACTCTATACCCACGTTTATAGGATTACAAATCCAGGGATTGATAATTCCCGGATATAGAATTCGAAGGACTAACAGTCCCTTGTCATTTCATTGCATATCTAGCTTTTGTTTGGCCTGGATTAATGCTTTGAATTTTCTATTAATGATCCTATCCTATATTTGGTTGACCCTAGTACATTGCCTGATAAGCTAACAAAATCACAAATATATCTTTCCCCATTTATAAGATCTACGTTTTAATGAAACATGAATATATCTTTTTCGGATTTGACTAGACTAATGCTCTTTATTTGCTTTTGACCTTTATCTTCATGACAAGTGACCATGCAATCTCAGGTTAATGCCCAAATTAGCACTTTCTGCACCCGAGAAAAAGAAGCTCACAGGAAGAGTTTCTGTAGCACTTAAATCTTTCAGATATTTTCTTCCCTTGTAGCGTAGATGCATATTCTGTGTTTGCCGCACTTTGCTTCCTAGTTTTGCAGAAAATTGATTGTGCAACTGAGAACAAGCAATTAAGTACCATGATTCATTTCAAATAATGTAAATTGTAATGAGGTTTTTTTCCCCCCCATTCTGCAGAACAGTTCAGCACTGATTACTGAACAATCTGATGAGGAAGATGATGTTTAAAACCTCATAGAAAAAGGCAAAAATGCTTCACCATCTTTGGTGCAATGCTGATGAAAAAGATATGCTTGAGCACCATCTTGCTGAGAAATCAGACACATCCTCTCACTCGTCAAGGAGAACCAATTAAAAGGAACGTTATAATGTGGTTTCAAACACAATGATTTGGTTACAAGTCATGTCTTGGATGAGAAATTTGTGAATCATTTAGCCTCCTTTTCACATGTATGCATTTTGGCCACAGTTTCACATATCAAGGGAGAATGGAAGTCCTAGGTTTCTCATTAACATTGTAATTTGGATGAGAATTTGATTGTGAACATTTTAGCCTTTGTCACATGTAATCATTTTGGCTGGCTTCACGTGTCAGGAGACAATTACATGTCCTGCATTCGGATTACAACTATTGCAAATAGGAAGATGCAAACAAAATTCTTCGAATAGCAGGGAAACACATTTTCCTACAAAAAGAACGATTTCTCAAATTTAAGAACTCATCTAAGCTAACACAAGGTGCAAAGAGCCTTTTAGTTCCCATCCAAAATTAGTGAAATTCTATTTTCCATCAGGTAAGCGAGCAGGAGATGAATACTCTCTCTCTCTCATTCACTTCTTATTTAACCCTGAAAAACAAAAAAGAAAGAAAGTTCTAGGCACAGTTCTCACCATGGACAAGCAAAAAAAATGGATCACAATCTAACAGCTGCAATTCTCAAATTTACAATCCTAGAAATAAACCTGTTGTCTTTCAATGTGTTGGTATGATATGTACTAAAAGACCCACTTAGTCTTAAATAAATAAATAAATTTAAAATAAAGAAAAATGCTTGAGACCCTTATTTTTGGTGATCCCCACAATCCCCAATTGATTTGTGATTACTCATTTTGTTTTTTTTGTTTTTTGTTTTTTGTTTTTTTCCTCTCTCCTCACTCTCTCTCACAAACGCTGCGGGGTTGTGGGGGTCTAGAGCATAGCCGGAAAAAAAGAAAAGAAAAAAAAAGGGGGGTATCCAAAGCAACAATATCTAAGAAAAAAAAATGTTACTCAAAAGCATTGTCAATAAAGAATCATTTTTTATTTTTATTTCTGATATGACTTCAACATTTTCACAGGACTGCAGAATGTTTAACTTCTTAATTGTGCCAAGATCACAAATATTTCACAGCAAATCTATTCGGTTACATATAGAAGCACTATCAATCTTCCACAAATTAGCCTTTCAAGCTTTGGTTATAAAATTACACAAGGGTTACAGAGATAACTCCTACCATATCCCGATACTGAATCCCTTAATCTTATGGGATATTGCAGCCCACGACAGTGCTTGAGAATTAGCTGATATATCTTTACTACAGTTTCTACCAATAGAGCATATGCCTCCAAGCTCATCTAACTGTGCAGCTGAGGGCAGTCAGTCTAGGGAAATCAGCAAATTAGGGTTTTGCCATTGTTTCTACACACATCCTTGATCTGACATACCATTAGCAACAGTCAGAAAGGCAGAGATGGCTGCACCATGTACCAAAGCCCTGGCCAGCACGGAAAAGATAAGATTAGGCAGAGAGAGAGAGAGAGATTTGATATGCCATACGGTGTTGCCTTCTACATCTTTCTTTTTGAAAAGTGATGTTAAGTCACAAGCAAGGAGGTTTATAAAGCCATCCTAATTTAACAAATTCTAGAAGTTATACAAGCGCCCCTCCTCCCCTCCCCCTCCCTCCTTTATGAACTACTTCAAAACAGAAAACCACCAGTAAAAAAGCAATAACACATGCATGTGGAAATCGGAAATATTGGTGGCGAGGGTTTCAAATAAGTACTTACTCAGGACTCTCTTTCTGATAGCCAAAATCAGTTGCTGCTTTGAGCGTTCTCTGGTATGTCTGCTTCATTGCTTCCTGCCAGGAAGGGGCAAAGGGAAGATGTAATAATAGTATCCGCAGAAAAGAGTTTGAATTACATAACAGGTCAAGCCAACAAAAGCACCACAGCTCCACGATTGAGTCCCACAACAACTTGCTGCTTTGTGACTGGGATGGTAATAAGAATAATCTCTATAGTAGGAAACTCCAACATGATTACAATGAGTTTAAATACCAACACCAAGTTACCCGGGATGAGAAATAAAAAATTAAGCCTAGCTGGATTTCAATTATTTTTAAGGTGATTAATCACTACCGCATTCTTGATGCACCAAATGACTAAGGAAAATACTATAATGGGCATCACAGTCTAATGATTGAAAGATTAAGCTCGCTCTATATATAGACATTTGATAGAAACCAGACTCTGCTGTGATACCATAGTTCAGTATCACGAGATGGTGACAGCAAATATGAAGACATAATTTTGAACAGGCTATATGACACTTCAAATTTCACAAGACAAGCACCTCCACCTATACTAAAGAAGTGAGATCGTTATAAGTCCTACCTAGAAAACGTCCTATTTACCAGAAAATACCATTTGCTGGGCACTGATGAACTATAGTATTCCCAGAAACCAGATTCCCTCAATACTTTTGTTGCCTTTTTCTCTGCAAGAGAACTTGTTTTTCTATTTATCATTTTTCTGTTCCCATATAAAGATGTACCATAATTTAACAAGTGATACAACTGAACTCAACTCAACAAGGCTTAATCCCAATTACTCTAGGTCAGCTACATGGATACATTTTCTCCAATTCATTCTATTCAAAGCAAAATCTTCAATTAAATCCAAGTAATGTCCTTCCTCACCATTTCTAGCACCTTCCAAGCACTCATTTCCAAAGCATTAGTTGACCCAAATCAAGCTCCTTTTTTTATTTTCTTTATTTAGTACAAGCAGTGTTATCAGAGGCGAGCCTAAGCGCTTGCCTAAGCGCTAAGCGAGGTGAGGCGAGGCTTCAGCGCTTCACGCACATTGAGGCGAGGCGAAATGGCGAGGCGATGGAGAAGCGCCTGAAGCGAGGCTTAGGCGATGAAGCGGGAGGCGAAACGAAGCGACGCTTCACCAGTTTTTTCCCTGATTTCAGTTCGAATCATCTGGGCCCTTCATCGACTTCGTTCGAATCATCTGAGCCCTTCATCGACAAAGTTAATTACTAAATAAGAAGTCCAAACCCTAGATCGACTTCGTTCGTCGACATTGAAAGGCATACCGAAGTCGAATCATCTGGGTCTTCTTCTTCCTTCTTCGGACGTCGTTCCAAGGTGAGTTCCTTCTTCTTCCTTTCTCCTTTCTTCCCTTCGACTTCACCTGGGTCTTCTTTGTTCACTGTTCTTTCCTTCGACTTCACCTGTTCTTCTTTATTCATTTTTTTCTTCGACTTGAAGAACACTGTCGAACCCTGTGTTAAAATTAATTCAATTATTTTTTAAAATTAATTTTTAATTCGCAAAAATTAATTTTTAAAATTAATTCAATTATTTTAAAATTATTATTTTTTTCAATTAATTCAATTATTTTTTTTCTATGTTAAAATTTCAATTAATTCAATTAATTTTCTGGTTATTCAATTAATTATTTTAATTCAATTAATTTGTTTATTTTAATTCAATTAATTTCCTGGTTATTCAATTAATTATTTTAATTCAATTAATTCAATTAATTTCAATTATTTTAATTTGCTTGATGTTGAAGATGATTTTTAGAACTTTTAGATTGGTGGATTGTATTTGTCTTTGTTGGATATTTTCTTTTGTTTATGGATATTTAGTATTTGGAATGATAACTGCATGATGGTTCTTGAAAATATTTATATTTTTGTCTATACCATTTATTTAAAAAAAATATCCTTTCTGGTCGCCTTGATTCGATGAAGCCCTCGCCTCGCCTCGCCTCGCCTCGCCTCGTCGCCTCGCGCTTAGGCGTTAGGAGACCTTGTCGCCTCGGTTCGCTTTTCGCCTTAAAAAACACCAAGTACAAGTGAGCTTGATTCGATTATTTAAAATAAAAGAAGAAAAATCAGTTGGCATCCAAACTCAAACACATCAGGATATGGAATTGCAACTTGGGAGTTCTCTCAAAATCCAGCAGCCAAATAAATTATTATTAAACCTCACCTGTAATTTAGATTCAAATTCTTCGGGCGACCAGTTAATCAGTTCAAGTTCTCCCGCAGCAACCTACAGACCAAGTGGTTACAAATTTAGCACATGAATCGAATAATGATTGAAAAACATCCAAGAGCAGTACCAATAACACAAATAAGGATAAGAAAGAAACAGAATAATTTTTGCCATTTAAATTCCCTCTACAAATATTTTATCTTCCTCAGGTGTACCTTTAACTACTCCATACATCTCTCTCCAAGTTTTTTTTTTTTGATAAATAATCACACTTTATTAGAAAAGCATCAAGACGATGTAAAGAATAAAAAAACACCACCCAATTCGGGTCCAACAACCTAACGACTTAAATCCTCCACAAACTCTACAAAAGCCAAAACATTAGGATCAACCAAACCCGTAACCCAACTAAGCAAAACCAACAAAAGCCTACTCTCTAACCAAGAAATGGCATGACATAGATCTTGGAAAACATGCCTACTGCGTTCCAACCAAACCAACCACGTCAAACACTGAGTAGCAAGAATCCAAGCCTTCCGAAATCTCTCTCCAAGTTATTACTACAGTGTCCTCATCTAGTGCATATGTAGAAACAATAACCTGCCTCTGAAAAAAATTAAGACTCTGAGCATAATTGCATATAGCTCCATCTTCCACACTTCATGTGTAGACCCTATCCCTATTCCATTCATGTTTTTGTCTTTCTCCATGTGCCAAAATCCGCAATCCAAATGTTCAATCTGCAGGTTTTCCTTCAACCTACATAAATTTTCTATGGACTTGGACTACCTAAAAGAAATATACCCCAAGCAATTCAGATGATAATTTGGCAGACTCAGATTTGAATTGGTAAATATACCACATCATCTAAAAAGTTTGTTGACATGCATTTTGCTTAAAATACTGAATCATGTTCACATGGATATAAAAAAATGAACAATAAATAAAAAAATTCATAGTTACATATTGTTCATAAAAAGGCTGAAGACATAGAACATGGATAACTAAGAGGTGGTCAGTGTTATATCCTACCCCTCCAGCACCAGCAGCAATAGCAGGGGCAATGAGAACATTAGCTTTTCTTAGAACATCAACTGCTTCAGGTGTACAGGGCATATTGGAACCTAGAGTGCATATTGCAATATAGTTACTAACAAGAAGGAAAAACCATAACAAACAAAATCACATATAAAAAGTAAAGAACTAAAGGCATCAAGTATAATATTGAGAAACACTACCTTCTACTAGTATACGACAACCTGAATTAACCAAATTAATGGCATC